TCTGGAAGCAAAATCTTGACTCCAATAGTCACCAACAGAGATAGTCCTGGGCTCTTTTGAAGACTCAGATGGGACAATTTGGTGGAGGATCATGTGTTGGCACTTGACCTTGAAGAGAGGTGGATAGGGATCTCAGGTGCCTTGGAAGGAAACTGGAGGAAACACGTTTTGGGGCAGAAAAATTTTTAAAAATCTGCTTCAGTGACAACCTGCTTTATTCATGCATGGGGCTGGTCCAAGACATTGCCAAATAAGCCAGTGGGAGAGGCAGAGGAGTCCAGGGAAATCTCCCCGAGAGTCCCAGAAGCTGCATGCCCACCCCAGCTCTGCCACCTCCTTGCTGTGTGACTTTGCATCAGTGGCTTGACTGGCTGAGCCTTGATTTCTACTTCAGTTGCATGGGGACAATAAAGCCATTGCCAGCTGGCCATAAAGGGTTGCCGGGGAGTAAAAAAAAAAAAAAAAAAAGAGGAAGGAAATGAAAGCAATTTCCAAATTGCCCCAATTCCAATTGCTTCAAATTGCCCATATCAGGTAAATAATTATTCGGGACTTGGACAGATTCTTCTGTGGAACTCTTTCATTATCACAGAAAGGAATTCTTGGATTCTGATGGACCAGGCACTGAGATAGGTGTTTTACCCACGATCTCATTGAATATGTGCAACAGTCCTGCATCTTTCCATCGTGGTGACTAAGAGAAATAAGGTGCTTTTCCTGCCCTGTGCTGGGCAGTGCTCTCTGTCCTTGAGAATTTTGTCGAGGGGGTGGTTATATTTGAGATCCCAGTGGAGCGAGGCTGATGAGTGTGTTACCCTGAGATGATCACATCATAAAACCAGAATAGATTTGACAGAGGACTTAATGTGCTCTTCAATATGCATTTGGTTTCACATCATATTATGTTTCCAAATCCCGCAAAATAAGGGACTCGTGGTGCCCCTACCTTTCCTCCCCACCCTTCCACACCCACATTCACTGAACAATAAATCGTCAGATGTGTCCTCTCTTCCCTGAGCACACACCTTCCATCTGAGTCAGAAGGAACACTTGAGAATTCCAGGAACACATTTAATCACTTAGAATTGGTCGGTGTCATCAGCCTCTGGGGAACTGATGCGCGATCTGGGAATTATAGTGAGTGTTCTTGTGGAAACATGTCGCTGAAAAGGTGCCTCCTTTCAGGCTCAGGTTTGGTTTCAGATCCGAGGCTTTTAAGGTTTTACGTTTCTCTACACTGATCTTGAGTAACTGAGTTGGAAAGTGTTCTCTCTTATTCCTTTGCCTGTTGGTGCTTGTTTGCTTATTTATTTACTTAAGCAGAAGAATGCCCCGTTTAAAATGCATCCAATTTTAGAAAATGGAATCATAAAATCTTAGTTCTGCTAAATCTCCAAGTCACAGGAGTGTCATTTATTGATTCCACAAATCTTTATGGAGATCCGTGTGTGTGCTAAGCACTGTGCTGGGTAGTGGGGTACCAGAATCACGGGTGCGCACCCAGCCATCCCTTTGTCCATTATCCATTCATTGATTCAACAAAGATTTACTGAACACCTCCTGTGGGTATCAGGCACTCTACTATGTTGAACAAGGCAGCAATGTTCCCTGGTTCATGGATCTTACAGTCTTCTGGGAGCATTAAAACCTGGGCTGTGCTTTCTAGGTGCTCATAGTTTGGTGGGTGAGGAGGACACACGCAGGACACCTGCCAGCTGCCGGGTCAGGATTTTAGTGCAGTGGTGGTGGAGCAGAGTGCTCTGGAATGCCAAAGGGAGGATGGGGATGACATTAGGGAAGGCTGGGACTGTCAAAGCTGAGTGCAAGCTTTGGAGGCCTGAGACCTGAATTCGAATTCCAAATTTGCCTCTGGTAGTTGTGTGACTTTGGCCTCCCCTTGTCTTGGTGTCCTCTTCTGTGGAATGAGGGTAGCAGTGGCATCTCCCCCGGGGTTTGAAGGTGCCACAAGGCTCTGTGGGGACAGCACTTGGTACAGTGCCTGGTGGCAAGTTTTCTTCTCCGGAGCCCATTCTGGACGTGTCCCTGGAAGGTGAAGGTGCCCATTGGTTCTGAGATGTGGTGAGCTGGTGAAATGGGTCCAATTAGTCGTTGCTGCCATGCTGGTCTAGAAGGGCAGTGTTGGGCAAGAGGAAGAGAATCGGGTTGAAGCTGGGCCCACTTGTTGGCCTAGGTTGGCATTTCTCAAAGTATGATGAACACAGATGATGTTTAGGTGGTGCCGAGGCAAATACTGAACGATGTTAAGAGCTACGTATTTTACGTGCACTACAAAGATACTATTTTTCCATTTTTGGTGGTTCTATAATGCTTCCTTTAAAAATAAATGTATGTAGTTTAAAACAACTGATATGATTAAAAGGAGAAGCTTAAGGACTAGCAGAGTGTATGGGAATGTGGTAAAACCATGCTTGGTACTTGCTTGTGGGGGTTTGGGGAATGCTGGCCTAGAATGAGGCTCTTGATGGTATCAGTTCTCCCATTCCTGGTCTGTAAAAGGGAAGGGACAACATTGCCTCTCAGGGAACAAGAAGTTGACATGAGGGTGTGTGTGGGGAAGGCTGTGCAGGTGGCCTCGGGTGAATACCCACCTTACCCGAGCTTCTCTGTTCCTACCTCACTCCGGATTGCATTTCCCTCTTTGATTGTCTTCATTGCCTGTATCACTATTTAAAATCATCTTGTTTACACTCCTCCTCCGTAATTCCGAAAATCCAAATGCCCTGAAAATGGAACGTTAAAAAAAATTGGTTTGGAACTCATCTGTTTGTTTTTGATATAAACTGGCAGTTTTTATAGCAAAACCTGACCTGAACTGATGTAGAACTATCTTTCTCCTTAATTTATCCTTAATTTGTGGAATAATTCATCCAAGGCCACACAGTTAATAAGTGGCAGAGCTGGGACTGAAATGCAGGCCTGGCTGGTCCCTCCAGCATCTTTTCTATATAGCCTGGGCCTCTTGAGCTTCTCCATTTCCCTCCTTTGAGTTGTCTCTGCAGATCACCAAGATGGAAACTCTTATATCCACCTGCTGAGCCCTGTGGCCTGAGATGAACCTCTGGACATGTGGCACCAGCCCCTTGGGTCACAGAGGACACGTGTTACCGGGATGGGGTTCTATGGCTTTGTGGTTAATGTGTCAGGCTCTAGAATCCCATGGAGCTAGTTTTAGTCCTAGCTCTAATAGCACATACCTCAAAGAACATAATAAGCTCCAGGACACCATGGTACAGACTCAAGAACATGTGCTTGATTAATCAGTTTGGTTAAATAAATTAAATAATATCTATGAAAGTCAGAGTTCTGTGACTGGCACAAACTAAGCACTTGCAAAGGATAGCCACTATTTTCATTTACCGCTGGGAGCCCGTTTCGAGTTTCAGTATCAATAACTCAAGCTTTTTGACGAGTGCAAGTGACTCCTATTTGACGAGCGCAAGCCAGGGTAGAAACCCACAGTGACCAAAATCGGGACCTAGAAGCTCTATGTTTTGAGCAGCCCAGACTTTGTACCCAGTTCTGACTTCCGTGACACCACTTTGCCCTTGTAAGTCCTGGCCTACAGCAGAAGGATGGAGGGAGCAGGGCAATGGGAGAGTGTTAGGGAACATTCTCAGCACTGGATCACTGATGCTTTGCCTGAGGGCTAAAAACGCAGTCAGTGTATCTGGTGCCTTTCCACCTGCCAATGATCCAGCTCCTGCCAGTTTGGGAACACTAACTCAGGTCTGTGAGGGACCCCTCTTGTCATGTAAGCCGCCATCTTACCTGGCTTCCTCTCCCACCTCCACAAGCTTGCTCATACACCACATGTTTTATGCCGAGGCGTCAGCTCCAGAGGGGCTGGGTCTTCATGAAGAGAGCTGGAGAAGTGTAGCATGAGTGATTTTCGAGCCACGCTTGTACTTAACACTGTGTAGTTTTGGTTACTTCCCTTTTTTCATCAGGAAAGTGCATCTTGGAGTTTATTGATTAAATGAGTCTCTGCAAGCAAAAGCACAATGTGAACTTGAAAGCAGTTTGGAGCTCTGAGGGGTTATTGAAATTAGTATCTTTGGGTTCATGTGTATGACAGGGAGCCTTGTTAAAATGACATTTGCATTTATTTATTTTTCTTTAGAAGAAGGATTCAGAAGACTATCTGGGACTCACTGAATGTAGTCTCCCTCTTAGAAGGTGGATGGATAATAGGGCGTTCTGTACTCATGGAGGGTATAGCAGGTGCAGAGTGAGTTGTTGCATGATCCAGGGAGAAGGAGTCCAGAGAGACCTTCTTAACCTGGGAATTACTAAAGGTGGCTGGGGCAGAAACTATGTTCCCAAGATGGCCACACCAATGTATGTCTTATTCCACAAGCTTATCCGACAACATGACAGGGACACTCCTGAGAGGTGGGGTCTCTGTTCCCTTGCCACAGAACAGGATGGATCTTTGTAACTGCCTTGCCCAACAGAATGTGGTGGAAGTGATGCCCGGTGACTTCCAAGTTTAGATCATAGAAGGCAACACAAACTGGCTCTTGGAACCCAGCTACCATGTTGAGGAAAGCCTGAACCATGGAGAGGCCATGCCTGGGAGAGTTGCAATCCATGGCACCAGCTAGACCCCAGCCTACAGCCAGCTTCTATCAGCAAACTTTTGAGTGAATGAGCCCGTGGGTGAATGAGGCCTCCAGTCTGAGTTTTCTAGCTGAGGCCCCAAAACATTATGAAACAGAAATAAACCATTCCTACTGTGCCCTGAATTTATTCCTGGTCCCAGAAACCATGAGAGGCAATAAATGACTATTGTTGTTTTAAGTCGTGAGTTTTTGAGTTGATTTATGATGCAGCAGTAGATGACTAATTAAATAGATGATGATTTGGAATAGGAGGAGCAGGGCAAGTATCCTACCCTTGGGAGATCCTTGGCTAATACTGCAAGGAGGCTGGAGGTTCTGAAACTGCAAGGGAACAGAGGTCAAGCATTTCTTTCTTTCTTTTTTTTTTAAGGTGTGCACTTTATTGAACTGGTCTCAAGTCAGTGTACAGGAAAGCCCCGGCTGCCTCCATGCTTCAACCCCTCTCCCAGGGAGACCAAAAGCCTTCATAAATCTTAAATTGGAGGGGACAAAAAAGGGGGGCCATGATGGCAGACCATTCAAAATAAAACAAAAAGAACAAGTATTAAGGCGAAGATTAAAAAAAATTTGGACTACATAATTTACACAAAAGCAATTCTATCACCCTCCCCTGTGTGGACTTGGGCGAGGACTGGCCCTTCTCCTCAGGGAGAAATGGAGTGGCTTTTGGGAAGGCAAGGGACTTCCTGTAACAATGCATCTCACAATATTTGGAATGACTATTAAAAAAAAAACAATGTACAATCAAAGTCCTCGGCCACATTGTAGAACTTTGGGGATGCTCGCTCCAACCAACTGCTGTCACCTTCACCGTTCCAGTTTTTAAATCCTGAGTCAAGCGCCAAAAAAACCCCCCAAAAAACCAAAAAACAAACAAACAAACAAAAAAAACCCCAAAAAACAATTAAAAAACCAAATAAAGCCATGCCAATCTCAACTCGTTTTCTGCGCAAGTTAGGTTTTGTCAAGAAAGGGTGTAACGCAACTAAAGTAACAGTCCGCCTAGAAGCATTTGCAGTGGACGATGGAGGGGCCGGACTCGTCGTACTCCTGTTTGCTGATCCACATCTGCTGGAAGGTGGACAGCGAGGCCAGGATGGAGCCTCCGGTCCACACAGAGTATTTGCGCTCAGGGGGGGCGATGATCTTGATCTTCACTGTGCTGGGCGCCAGGGCGGTGATCTCCTTCTGCATCCTGTCGGCGATGCCGGGGTACATGGTGGTCCCCCCGGACAGCACCGTGTTGGCGTAGAGGTCCTTGCGGATGTCGACGTCCCACTTCATGATGGAGTTGAAGGTAGTTTCGTGGATGCCACAGGATTCCATGCCCAGGAAGGAAGGCTGGAAGAGCGCCTCCGGGCAACGGAACCCTCGTTGCTGATGGTGATGACCTGCCCGTCGGGCAGCTCGTAGCTCTTCTCCAGGGAGGAGGAGGAGGCCGCAGTGGCCATCTCCTGCTCGAAGTCCAGGGTCACATAACACAGCTTCTCCTTGATGTCACGCACGATTTCCCGCTCGGCGGTGGTGGTGAAGCTGAAGCCACGCTCCGTGAGGATCTTCATGAGGTAGTCCGTCAGGTCCCGGCCAGCCAGGTCCAGACGCAGGATGGCGTGGGGCAGCGCGTACCCCTCGTAGATGGGCACAGTGTGGGTGACCCCGTCCCCGGAGTCCATCACGATGCCAGTGGTACGGCCAGAGGTGTACAGGGACAGCACGGCCTGGATGGCCACGTACATGGCCGGGGTGTTGAAGGTCTCGAACATGATCTGGGTCATCTTCTCACGGTTGGCCTTGGGGTTCAGGGGGGCCTCGGTCAGCAGCACGGGGTGCGCCTCGGGGGCCACGCGCAGCTCGTTGTAGAAGATGTGGTGCCAGATCTTCTCCATGTCGTCCCAGTTGGTGACGATACCGTGCTCGATGGGGTACTTGAGGGTCAGGATGCCCCGCTTGCTCTGGGCCTCGTCACCCACGTAGGAGTCCTTCTGGCCCATGCCCACCAACACGCCCTGGTGCCGGGGGCGCCCCACGATGGAAGGGAAGACGGCCCGGGGGGCATCATTGCCTGCGAAGCCGGCTTTGCACATGCCGGAGCCGTTGTCAACCACGAGCGCAGTGATATCATCATCCATGGCGATCGGGGGGCGGTGTAAACCGGCGGTGGCAGCGGCGGAGCGGCGAGGGCGAGGGGCCTGTGCTCGCGGGGTGGACGCGGTCTCGGCGGTCGAGGTCAATCATTTCTGACCGTAGTTGGTCTGGGAGAGGGCAGAAGATGCAACAGAGACAAGAGCTTCCCGGATGGAAGGTTTCTGTGGGAGAGGCAGGCAGATGACCCTATCTCTACCATTGAGTTTTGAGTTGACCCTCGAGACAAGGTTCTCTTCTGCAAGGTCATCATGGCTGGAGATTGCATGCTCTTACCCCTCTGGATGCGGGAGGCTGGAAGCTTATCCCAGCTCCTCAGGACTTATGGAAGGTTTAAGGCCAGAGCCTGCTTACCCGCCATTACCTATTTCTCTTGGATATTGCAGGAGATAAAATTCCCTAAAACCCTTGGGCAATCATAAGTTTTAGACTCAAGATATAAATTCTCTGGTCACAAAATGATGAAGGAGTTTCTGCTAGTCAAGGTTCTTGATTGCAAACAATGGGCAAGAATTCTAGATGATTTAAGCAGAAAATGAAATTATTGAAAAGATTTGGGGGTTCTCAAAAATCCCTGAGAAGGGTAGGGAATAAGGGCTAGATCACATGATAGAATGAGTTCAGCAAGGACACAGTTGCCACAGCCGTTGGAACCTGGGTGTCCCTGAACCCCAGATGCAGCTACTATTATGGCCCTTGGAACACAGATAAAGCTACTTCTCCATCAGGATGGAACTGCCCTGTCTCTACTTTGGGTTACTGGCACTCAATTCCAAGTCTAAGAGCAAATGAACCTGACTGGTGGATCCTGGGTCATGTGCCATCTCCTAGCTGCAGGGGAAGCTGGGAAATCAAGGATCTAGCTGGGAAATCAATTCATCTTTGTACAATGAAGAATTCCCCCCACATAGAAAGAGGCTTCAGGGCGCCTGGGTGGCTCAGTTGGTTAAGCAACTGCCTTCGGCTCAGGTCATGATCCTGGAGTCCCAGGATCGAGTCCCATATCGGGCTCCTTGCTCAGCAGGAAGTCTGCTTCTCCCTCTGACCCTCCCCCCTCATGTGCTCTCTCTCTCTCTCAAATAAATAAATAAAATCTTTAAAAAAAAAAAAAGAAAGAGGCTTCAGGTACTGAGCAAACAAAAAATTACAAAGGTCCACTACTGAGTTCTAGGCTTGTTGTTATTAAGGATATATTAGTGTGTCACTGTGTGTTTGTGGGGGAGAAGGAGAGCAGACCTTGAATTTGAGAACTATGGGGAAGTTGCTGGTGAGATCATTATATTTGGAAAATGTGATGTGCTGGTTATCTGCCTACTTATTCTCAGCACCATTCTTGCCCTTCAGTGTTCTACTCTGCACAGGACCTGAACCCCTGCAAACCTAGTCTCCCTTGGTAGGTTCAGCCAATGTGAAGCCCTAGTAGGAAGTTGGAAGGTGGAAAGGGGTGGGAAGGCATGTTCTCTCTCTCACCACTTCCCATGGAATCTTTGGGAGTGACTGTATCCTTTACAGTTCAGCCACAACAGCTCAGCACTCGTCTGGGAGAGCCCTCCTTGCTGGTCCCAGTACTGCCCCGGTGGCCCCTCCTTGGGGGTTCTACCACCCTTTCTGGCACCCCCAGTGGTGCAGTCCTAGTGCATTCCTGGGCTTGGATAAGAACATGTTCTCGTCTCTGTCTCAGCCCTTGTAGAAGGAGCTGCTTTCTCTAGGCTTTTGGGTTCTGCCTTACCTCCCTTTCTCTTTTTCTTCTTTTAGCACTTCCCAGACTTCGTAACTAGCTCCCTGGGTTGAATCCCTTGTATTTGGAATACTAATAGACTTCCTGTTTCCTCACTGGATTCTGACTGATGCACATGGTAATTTGGTAAAAACAATATGCCTGACATTTATAATATTCTCAATATCAAAGAGCTTTAATGTTTGGAATGCTGCCATTTCTTGCCTTTTCCATCTGGTAAACACATATGCACCATTCAAAACTTTCTTCAGACTTCAGCTCTCCAGGAAGCCTTCCCTGATATTATCCCCACCCTCTGCTCCCTAAGCCCCAAGGGACCAAATTCAGGACCACTCTCTCTTAAGTAGTTATGTGACAATAGTGTTCATTGATGTTGACAGCAACAAGCATGAAGATTAGACATACATGTTTGTAGGATAATGCTTCCATAGCTTTTCCTGGGCAAGAGTGTTGATTTTTAAGTCTGGAATTCTGGTCTAGATTCCATTAGTAGCTAACTGCAACCTCGGGCAAGTCAGTTGACTTCTCTGGGCTGCAGTTTCCCCTTTTGAAATATGAGTGGGTTCAACTAGGAGGGTGATTTCCAAATGTTTTTTGTGTGTAAGTTTTAAGTAATGCTATGTGGAAACCCAATACGTAAAACAGAAATAAATGCTGACTGAAGTTAGGAGTGGGCATTCTCAGTGCTCCTCTATCCCCAGAACTTTGGTAGTACCTCTGTCACACCTCTAGGGCTCCAAGGAGCAGAATTGTAACTCTGCACTGGATCACTTTGTTTATATATTTTAGCTTTACACATACAGCTATGTGTAAAGTAGATGAACTGAAGCCAATTAAAGATGATGCTCATGCATTGTTCATATGATATTTGCACACGGCCTTATTTCTACCAATAGATTTGGGGAACCTGAGTACAAATCTTTCCTGAAATCATATCAAATAAGAGATGTATATTTTTGCCACTGGAAAACCACATCACATTCAATGGTAGATGTAAATGGAATCCTGGGGAAATATTTGAATATGGATGGTCCAAATCTTTTTACCATGAACCTGATAAGATCATTGTAATAGCTTTGAATGCTGAGGCTCAGTTACCCTATAACCAACATTCCTTCTTGAAACTAACCATATCTGTGTTGGTTCACCTTTTCCAACCCTGTATGTAGCCTAACTAATTGGCTCTACTGAGCTGAGGTGGGTATTCACCATTAACATAGCTTGATACGTTAGGAAACATCTTTGTAGCCAGCCACAATAGAGACAGTTGAGTGTTTGGATAAAGTTCAAGTGCACTGACTTGTGCTTTCTTTATGGAGGGAAGAATCATAGGGGCATGGGCCAGAATAGAAGCAGATATTTTGAATAAGGCTGGGATCTATCTGGAGTTGTCCTTAAGAAGGAGAAACTTTGACCATGGGAATTAACACATGTTCTCTATTCAATTTTTCATCCTTATCATCATTATCTTTGTAGCCAACATCATTATCTTCAAAGGCATTGAACATTTACTATGTGTCAGGAATAATGCTCAGCACATCTAATTCCTACAACCATCTTTTTTTTTAAGATTTTATTTATTTATTCATGAGAGACAGAGAGAGAGAGAGAAGCAGAGGGAGAAGCAGCCTCCCAAGGAGCAGGGAGCCCGATGCGGGACTCGATCCCAGGACCCTGGGATCATGACCTGAGCTGAAGGCAGATGCTTAACCATCTGAGCCACCCAGGCGCCCTCCTACAACCATCTTACCCTTGTTGTTTATAGATGAGAAAACTGAGGTTTAGACAAATTCTATTACTCACTCTTTTTGCATTCATCAGCTAACAAGTAACTGAACTTGAAGTCAAACCCACATCTGCTTAATTACAAGACCATGCTCATAAATGACATGCTACTGCCTTCCCACTTCCAGAACCGCACAATGGAAGGGTAGGCTCCCCATGCCTGTTTGTCTTTTAGCATGATGAAATTGCCATCACTAGCCTGTCCCCTCACACCACAGGCCTGTGAAACCCCTATGGGAAACCTCCTGGTGACTTATCCTCAACTTAAAGCGGCTTCAAGCATTTGCCTTTCTTCCATGCCTGCAACTGCTGGGTATTGTTGAGCTGTCACCTGGTTTGGGGGACCTGCTGAATCAAGACTGAAACGAATTAACATAGGAAACCTGCCAAATCATCCTCCACACCCCCAGCAGACAGCCTAATTTCCTTGCTGATGAGAACTTCTCACTGGCAATGATCTTGTCCCTGCCATGGGGGATTTTCCAGGAGAATCACATGTCTCTCTTCAATGGCTGCAGAAAGTCAATTAATGAGCTAAAAAGGCAGAAATGAAGAAAAAGGTGGCAAGGAGATGAGCATAGAGAGCCAGAGAAGGTGGCCAATGATTACAGAGAAGGCCAGTCATTTAAGCCAGACTGTGGGTTCCATGAGAAAGGATGCTTTGGTTTAATGGTGATGGGAGAGACCACACTGACTCCTGATCTCTGAAATCATCACCATCCACATGAGCACTGAAAGAGCACTAGACCTCCATTTCAATCCCTGAGTGATACTGACATATGGTACTTCCAGAGCAAGTTTTTCCCTTTTCTGGGTCATATGGCATAGAGGTTAAAAGTGCAGGCCCTGGGCTTTAATTTTGAATCTAGTCTCCACCCCTTACCAACTGATTTTGAGGACATTATTTAATCTCTCCAAGACTTTGTTTTCTCAACTGTAGAATGTGTTAGTGATAATATTCATCTCACAGGTCTGCCACAAGGATAGAGGGAAATAATTCTTGCAGAGTAGTAAGGGCAGTGGCTGGCACATCGTAAGAATTCTCTGACTTGGGATGGTTTTGGCTGCAAGTAACTGAACTTCTGGCTCAGAGAGGCTTTAAAAGGAAGCGTGATAGCTCATGTAACCACAAGTTCAGGGAGAGGATGTCTTCAAAGTTGGTTAAATTAGTTCTTCAGTGATGTCCTCAACCTGGTTCCTTCTATATTTCTGTTTTGCGATCCTGAGTTTTGGCTCCACAATCAAGCTGGTAATAGAATGGCTACTATGCAGATATGTCAGTGTCCTAGGGAAGAAAAAGATCTGTCTTTCCCGTGACTCTATGTGAAACAAAAGATTTTTTTTTTTCAATCCTATCAGCAAACTTCTGTTTATGTCTCATTGGGTCACATGCCTGTTCTGACCAATCACTGTAAGAAGCACCTGGGGGTTAAGGGGTATAGTCAGTTTCCCCTGAGGCTGCATGGAGGGAGGTTGTAGGGCTGAACAAAATTGAGGTTCTGTTAGGAAAGAAGAAGGGAGATGTGGATACTGGCTAGGCATCTGACT